CTTGTTTTCGACTCGCACTACTATTCATGATTTAACAAAACTTTTGGCAGGTACTGTATGAAAAAGTATGTTTAATGAACAAGAGTCGAGAGTATAATGAGCTTTTTTCTCCCTACCCACGATTTTGCCAGCGCGCATCCAAGACATTGGAAGGGGCACATCGCTAGAGAAAGTAAATGAAGTATAACAGTCATTGTCAGATACGAAATTAAAATAAAAAATACTTCAAAAATATAATATATTTATAATAGAATGCAGAAGGAAGATGGAAATATCTTCAATATCATCGTCATCGTAAGTTCGTCAGTTCTAAGACTGGTTGGACACGCTATTCGTAAAGTTTTTCCGGGGGGTCACGCAAGACGGAAGAAATAGTGGAAAATCGAAAAGACATAATGGATTTAGGGGATGATATCTTGTGACCGTCTGTCGCATCGATTCAGTCGGTGTACGGAATTACAAACTTCACCTGTCGTACGCCAAATCTAATCGTTATCAACCCTACCAATATTTGGAGTATGCCTATATATGTAATGCAATTTTCCTATGTTTAGTTAAAAATATTCCTTACGTACTTATATACAACGAAATTTTTTGAAGATTTCCCGGAAATTTCTAGGATGTTACAGGTCTATTAGCTTAAATAACATCTGTGTTTTCCAGGATGTGAGCGAAAAAGGATGTATCAGGCTCTTAAGCTAACCGAATCGCTACTACGTAATCAGTACTATACACAGCCTTTGTTCGACATAGGGAGAAATAAAAATCGAACATTCATTTTGTTTTACCTTTTGAGTCGTCTTCTTAACGGGAACGCTGTTGACGTAGGTTGAAGATTCTATTCTGAAACGAGAAAAAAGTGCGTTATTCCTTTGACAACGAAACAGGGATTTAGGCATCTTTATAAGTAATTCATGAATTTTATATTGAAGCCTTGACATAGATATTTAACGCACATCCTTTTTTAGTTTCTTAGTGTAGAAGTAGTCTACAGAAATAGCAGTGCCTTTATTTTCTACACTATTATCTTGCAGTATTTATCTTCTGCAATAGACCGTGTTTCAATAAATAAATAAATAGATAAGTAAATATATCGTGTTATTTAGTATTGAAATCACATTAAAAGTATAAGGAGGTAATTCACTAATAAAGAAAGAAATAAATATTCCCCGTTGTAGGTAAGAATAAACGAAGTAAACAGCTGAATTCCTGAATTTTCAGAGATAAAAATTTCCAGTCTCTCAGAGTCTCTGAAAGCGAGACTCGAGTTTCCGTTTCTCATCGAGTCTCTCTGGTATCGCGGAGATAGACTGTCGAGAGACTGTCAAAAAAACTGTTTAGCGTCTCTGAACGAGAGATTCGAGTCACTCATAGAGAGATCATCATTTCGTATCCAGTCTCTGAACGAGAGACTCGAATCTCTGAACGAGAGACTAGAGTCGCTCATAGAGAGATCCTCATTTCGTATCCAGTCTCTGAACGAGAGACTCGAATCTCTGAACGAGAGACTGGAACCTCTCAATAAGTGGTGTCTCGATAGTCATGGTTAAAATTTTCTAAGTTTAACATATTTCAGAGACCCCAGTCTTTCTACGAGAGACTCGAGTCTCTCAATTTTTCAGTTTTATTCATTCAGTCTCTCTGTGAGAGACCCGAATCACTTAATTAACAATTTTATCGTTCGAGTCTTTCATACAAAGACTGTGAGAGCAAGAACAAATACGCAAGACTAAACGAAAAATTATTACTTCCTGCGGATTAATGAGTTAAACTATTTGAAGCAACTTTAATATCTTCTTTTCTTGGAACAAAACACTAGAACCTCGTAAACACAGATAACTCTGATTCTCAGTTTACTAACGTGTCAAGACCGAATGAACAAGACCAAGATCAGTNAATAAAACTTTACTGCTTGATAAAAAAAGGGATCTACAAGGATGTCCTCGGAGTAAGTGTACTTTGTTCCTATGTCTGGATAACACATGATTGAAATACAGAGACAAACTAATTTTTGTTTCAATATTTTTTACTTCTTTCAAGTACCTTGTGCTATTTTGTTAGCTAAAAGGTCAATTTATGAATTGAAGGAAGGGTAACTCTCACAACTAACGACACTATTTTTTTTAAATTCATGACAAGCTCGCATGTATGATTTAAGACAAATATTGTATTGGATTCATGGCCCGTAAAGATTAATCTTTATATTAACTGTGGAATATTATTAAGGACTAACTCTCTTCTATCTTCATTTCGTCGGTCTCATTCCTACGATTTCTAAAAGGAGGCTGAAGACACCCTTCCGCCCTACCCTTTGGCGTAATCCAGAGGAACTGCCTTTCCACCAGCTTTACTAGCTTTTGGGAATGAAACGCCCAAAAATTTAGAGTTTTTTTCTGTGCTTCTAACACTTGCTTTTCGATTGTTCTCTTACCTAAATGTATATCAATTTGACATTCATAATGATTGTGTACTGACTTTCTACCATCACAATTTAGAAATTTCACTTCTGATCTACTAAAATTCAATACAAAATACACTTTTAATGTCATATTGTCACAATTTATTGTCAGCTAAAATACTACTACTACTTTTCGACTATATTTTAAATAACTCTTTTCAAGTTAATTGGAGTAAAAAGACCTGAAGTAATTTTTGCGGTGATTTTTCGTATATTAATTTCAAAAACATTTGTTAACCTTTTATTTCAGTTAACTTGAAATGGGCTGTTTAAAATACGCCTAAAATGTAGTTGTTGAACTTTGGTTTTTAATAAATTGCGACTGTGTGACACTAAAAAGTACTTTTTTATTATGAATTGTTCACTGACATTTTCCTCAGTTAAATTAAACGCTAAAATGCTAATTTTATTACCCCACCGTACATTAAACGTTTGCAGTAATTCTTCCCACAATAGGTATAATAATTTATTAAACAAAGTTTCTGACGGAACGTAATAAAAAGGAATAGCAGCATGAAAATCAAGGGGGAAGTTATATAATTACCGCAACTCCAATGAGCCTACCGCCATGCAAAGTGTAGTGTTTCATTGGGACTATTTGCAATAAAAAGCAAGAATTCATGAAACAATACACTAAAATGCTGAGACTGTTGTTCTTAAGGCGGATGTATTCTGCTGTCATTCTTGTTTATACATTACACATTTTTCATTTTTTGTGTGAGTTTCACTTTTTTCTAAATGCTAGGAATCTACTTAATACATAAATGTAACAGCAGAAAAGAAAAATGTCTATGATGTGCCTTTTGTTCCTATTGTTTCAGAAGTTACTATAACATTACGTTTAAATTACATTAAAAATTTATAAAATAAAATTTAGGAGAGATGAAGCAGTGATCTAGAATTGTTTCTCCTTCGGTGAGAACATCGGTAGAATTGTTTATCCGACCTTAGGCTAACTACCGTGTTTAAGTACTTTATACTATTTTTTTCGCTAAAAGGTCAATTTATGCGTCGTAGGGAAGGTAAATTCTAAAGTTTTCATAATTCAACTATGGACAATATTTTCTTTAAAAGTCATGGCAAGCTCGCATGTATTACAGAAAATTTCAACATTTATGACAATTATTGTGTAGGTAAATAGAAATAGATGAGCTAGACTAAGACTTAACACGCAAAACCAAGATTAAGGCCAAGCCTAGAAGTGTTTGAGCAAGATCAAGACTGAATAAGCAAGACTGATACCAATGTTAAGGGTAGGATTATTCTGGGTATTAGTCTTGCCTTGCTCATCATTATTCATAGTTGAATTCTTGTGGATAGGTGAATTGGAACAAAAGGGAGGGCCGACAGGGATTAAGCAGGCAAAAATTATTACAAAAAAAATCATTTGACATATAAGAAATTAAGAGCAAATCAGATTCAAAGGTATTTGCGATTGTCTAATTTCTCGCTCTTTTGTTAATGATATTAAACCTAAATATCTATTAAATTGCATGATATTAAAATAACTTCGAAAGTTACATTCAAAGTCACTAAGTGATTAACTGATCGATAGAATATAAAGTTGTCTAAAACGAAAACATGAGAATAAAAACATTTATGATTTTTTTTGCAGTAGGTATCTTTTTTCCACTTCACCCCTGCCCGTCATCATTTTCGTTGCAACTCACGTGTCCGTCCTTCAGGAATTCAATTAAGTTAACGAGGTCTACATTTCTGAAAATTTTTGAACACCATTTTCATGACAATTGAAAAAAAAATAAGGCACTTTCATTCCCTTCTTCCTATTCCAATCAGCTCATACGACCATTATAAGGAGGACGACAATGCGACAGGATTTTTGAATTCAATTATTTCCTAGTTTCATTATTGGAGAAGAAAATTTCGGTTCGATGTCACCATCGTACCGATGTGCTCAATTTGATTTACTGACGCGTTCAGTGAAGCACTGCAAGTATGTTTATACATACATGATCCCTAATGGATCCATTTTCTGGTACAAAATTTACAATATATGCATACCTATATGGCTACTCAAATATTTAAATTCTCGTGTGGGTTGAAACAAAAAAAATGACAAACTTTATTACATACAGGAATTTCTTTTGCTAAGGGAGATATAATTCACTAACATTTACGTTTGTCTACTTATTGCTCTTTTCAAACTTACATTGAAAATACATTTCCTTCTAAAAGCATCTCACTCTCGAATAAACACTGACTGACAATGAGCAACTTTCTACTTAACACGTATCTCGTAAATCAAGAGCATTGAAATAGATGTTTCTTCAAACTAAATTCGACTATTTACTGTTGGTTTTCTTACGTCTTGAAATTTTATTCAATAACGTGTATTCAAATACATTTGTTAACATGAAGAGGACCAAGGACTTCGTATTTTAAAAGGAATAAAGTAAATCCGGATATTCTTATTCATAATATAGAATTAGTTTCGCGAATGAAAATTTTTAAAGGAGAAATTAGGCACTCGAAAATTTTCCTTTTTTTACATTGACGCTTCCAGTCATTTGAATGGATTTCTTATTTATGTAATAAAATAACATAATAATAATAAGAAGTATATTACTATGAATCGTGTGACAACAAAAATTATCAAAGTTAATGCCAGAAAAATTGCAGACGACACATCCCTCTACTCAAATCTCACAAGAAAACTGAACAATATGAACCAAATCGCTTCAAACATACACCAACACAATAAAAAACTGATTTAGCTGATCCAGAATGATCCTCAGTGCTGACGAAATCGAAGCAATCATATTCAAGAAAAACAGAAATAAGTATAAACAATTTCCTTTACAGTAAAGATAATCAACCAATAAATATAATGGAAAAACGAAGTACAGTGGATTTCGGGTATAATAACGACGAAGAGACCACTGTAATTTCGTCGTTATATCCGGAAGTCGTTACAGGCAAAGAGATACAGACACGTATGTAAAGTTTTCAGAATTTTTCAATTTTGGAAATTTTAACAGTAACAGTAAATGTGCATCTAGGAGTCATACTCATTCAAAAGTTTGCTACACACAGTTTGCTACTCAGAATATCACTTTGTAACTGAACCATTTTAACTAATACTATAAACAAGCAGTGTGGTCACCAACTCGCTGACCATCGGTGAGGATGTAAACAAAAAATAAGAAAGCTCTTTGTGTCTTTGGCGGCCGACTCGGGTTGTTATATTTGCATGGGATTACTACGGATTTGTTACAAATGATTCATGAAAAACAGTCGATGAATACAAATCAGTGTATACATAGTGCTGTTGTGTAAAAACAATTACTTGTGAAATAAATAAAATGTCACCAGAAAATAATTTCTATTATTTACAGGAACACCGGTACGTCGTTGTGCAAAATTT